ATGAAAAGAACAGTAAAATTCTCTTACACAGACTAAATGTAAACAATCCACATATAAACAGTTCAGAGTGTTTTTATGGTGCCTGAATGTGTGAATGATGTGGACTATTTAAAAATAAAATTCATTTCACACTTTGTAAGGAGTGTTATGGTATAAAACAGAGGTTAATTGTGTAAATCACGTCCTTCCCCTCCCGTTTTCTGCCTCAGTGGTCATCAAATCAACACACAGATTTACCCCCTGTAATATCATTAAAGCCTGTATCCATCTGTTATTAAGAAAATGCCACTCAGCCGCAGTGGTGCGTAACATTCATGTCATGAATGGGTGGTTGGCTAAATACGGAATTTGAACACTCAACAGCATTGGTTAAATTTACCTCAGAAAGGCTGCTCTGCCGAAGCAATTTCAAGTTTCGCACCAAGTTCACAGATGACACTTAAAATTTCTGTAGGGAAACTCAGCAGCCTTGACTGTGAATAACTAATGCTGTGCATGGCTCAGCATATCAAGCCAGTATCAGCCAGTGGCTGGGTCAGAGGTCAGGAGAGATGGGTGGACAGTTTTATTTGTTGATGCTGTCAGTCTGGTCCTCTTACTCACTCTGTCCTGACAAGAGGACATCACGCACACAAGGATATTCTAGCCTTGGGTTGTCTGCATGCAAAGTCTTCTGTCCTTTTTCTCAAAGTTGCCTCCAAACTTTCATCAAACTGAGAGCTTTATATGCCTCCATCAAAATTTTGTGAAATGACACAGAATTTTTCATCCCATTTTTGAAGAAATACAGCTTTATAGGTGAGAAGGAGGGATTCTGCAGCTTCTAAATCTTTTTTATTTTAAAATGTCCTAAATAAGGTAATTGCTGAACAAAATTAATAAATATATGAACCACTTCTAATTTCCTAACATTCTTCTTCCATTGACACGGATCTTGTTATAATCATTACAACAATATAATTGATGTTTGTTTTGTTTTGTAGTTTTTATTTACATTTGACATCTTTTTCACTCACATCCTTCTAGTGGGCCATCGTGACGCGTTTGTTTATATTTGGCCACTGCGCGGGGTGGGGGGAGGGGGGACTCGATGCTGCACAGAGACAGCTGGTGTGATCAGCTCTGAAAAGCATTGATCACAATTTGCAGATCACGTTTATTTTTCATGGAGATCGGCCGCGGATTCCTCTTCCGTCGGCATACTAGGAATCGAAACTAGGAATCGAAATAAAAAACGTTGAGCGATTCCGCGAAAAATGTACAGTTGGAACCGGATGCCCAACCCCCGGACCCTTTTGTTGTGATCCATTGACTGCATATCAACATTTGACCACAAGATGGCATCCTTACTTAATTATGCAGAAATTAAGTAAAAATGACATCCTGTGGTAAAATGTGGTTACTACAACCACTTCAATCAACTCTTTTGCTAACCGTCATCAAAGTACAATTGTCGACGTTGCAGCATTAGCTCGCAGGAAACACGACAACCCCACACTCACTGATGGTAAACAGTAGTTACATTACTCCTTCCTTTATTTTGAAAGGATAAAAGCTGACAATCCCCACAGCCAGCTGGATCTGAAATATTACATACAGGTGCTGGCCAGTAAATTAGAATATCATCAAAAGGTTGAAAATATTTCAGTAATTCCATTCAAAACGTGAAACTTGTACATTATATTCATGCAATGCACACAGACCAATGTATTTCCAATGTTCATTACATTTAAATTTGATATTCATAAGTGACAACTAATGAAAACTCCAAATTTGGTATCTCAAAAAATTAGAATATTCTGAAAAGGCTGAATATAGAAGACACCTGCTGCCACTCTAATCAGCTGATTTACTCAAAACACCTGCAAAGGCCTTTAAAAGGTCCCTCAGTCTTGTTTTGAAGGCACCACAATCATGGGGAAGACTTCTGACTTAACAGCTGTCCAAAAGACAATCATTGACACCTTGCACAAGGAGGGCAAGACACAAAAGGTGATTGCTAAAGAAGCTGGCTGTTCGCAGAGCTCTGTGTCCAAGCACATTAACAGACAGGCGAAGGGACGGAAAAAATGTGGTAGAAAAAAGTGTACAAGCTCTAGGGATAACCGCACCCTGCAGAGAATTGTGACGACAAACCCATTCAAAAATGTGGGGGAGATCCACAAAGAGTGGACTGCAGCTGGAGTCAGCGCTTCAAGAACCACCACGAGGAGACTCATGAAAGACATGGGATTCAGGTGTCGCATTCCATGTGTCAAGCCACTCTTGAACAAGAAACAGCGCAAGAAGCGTCTCGCCTGGGCCAAGGACAAAAAGGACTGGACTGATGCTGAGTGGTCCAAAGTTATGTTTTCTGATGAAAGCAAGTTCTGCATTTCCTTTGGAAATCAAGGACCCAGAGTCTGGAGGAAGAGCGGAGAAGCACAGAATCCACGTTGCATGAGGTCCAGTGTAAAGTTTCCACCGTCAGTGATGGTGTGGGGTGCCATGTCATCTGCCGGTGTTGGCCCACTCTGTTTCCTGAGGTCCAGGGTCAATGCAGCCGTCTACCAGGAAGTTTTAGAGCACTTCATGCTTCCTGCTGCTGACCAACTTTATGGGGATGCAGACTTCACCTTTCAACAGGACTTGGCACCTGCACACAGTGCCAAAACCACCAGCACCTGGTTCAAGGACCATGGTATCCCTGTCCTTGATTGGCCAGCAAACTCGCCTGACCTTAACCCCATAGAAAATCTATGGGGTATTGTGAAGCGGAGGATGCAATACGCTAGACCCAACAATGCAGAGGAGCTGAAGACGACTATCAGAGCAACCTGGGCTCTCATAACACCTGAGCAGTGCCACAGACTGATCGAGTCCATGCCACGCCGCATTACTGCAGTTATTGAGGCAAAAGGAGCCCCGACTAAGTATTGAGTGCTATACATGCACATTCTTTTCATGTTCATTCTTTTCAGTTGGCCAACATTAGAGAAACAAACATTTTTTCATTGGCCTTTAGAATATTCTAATTTTCTGAGATACCAGATTTGATGTTTT